GCTGGGTTCGGGTTCGGGCCGGAATGGCGAGTCATCGGATCGTTTGGTTTCGGTTTCGGCCGCGGCTTCGGAAGCGATGGAGTTTGTGTCGGCTTTTGAGAGAGATTATGGGAGTTTAAAGCCTAATTTTGTTTCGGAGGGTTTCATGGACGCTTTGCAGAGGTCAAGGGGTGCGTTTAAGTTATTGTTCGTGTACTTGCACTCGCCAGACCATCCCGATACGCCCTCGTTTTGCGGGGGGACGTTGTGTAACGAGGTGTTGGCGGCGTTTGTGAACGAGAATTTTGTTGCTTGGGGTGGGAGTATTAGGGCTAGTGAAGGATTTAAAATGAGTAATAGCTTGAAAGCATCGAGGTTCCCATTTTGTGCAGTGGTTATGCCTGCCACGAACCAGAGGATAGCTTTACTTCAACAGGTATCGCATCACGAATCTTTGTTTAGCTTTGCTTAGTAAGAATATTTTATGTTGTTTTACATGTGATTTGTTGTAGTTATATTTGTTGTAGATTGGTTTGTTTATAGGGAATGAAGTGATTGTTCGGTGAACTGTACTGGAGGTTTTTGAGTTCCTGGTGTTACTGCTATAAGAAGATAAACTAAGAGTTGGGGAAAAAACTTAATGATTGAAAGAGGAAAAAACTTTATAGTTTCTTTTTGGTTTCATTAAGTTTATACATCGGTCTGGTCACATTAAATGGAAAATATAGGAAATGGCATGAGACTGTTAGGACATGTTTTCAGTGGGTGTGTATCTATCTGTTATATCATTTGATAATAAGTGCTGGTGGAAAGCCATGATACTTAATAGTTTTAACCAATAGTGGACCAGTTTGATTTGGATTATATGGATGCATATTACTTCCTCGCTAGATGTTACTTCTTCGCTTTGAAATTGGTTGGTATGTTGTATTTAACCATTTCTTTTCATTGTCCTTTGTTTTAATACCTGTAGTTTATTAGGGTTGTAGTTGGAAACTTTTGTGTAGTAGTAAGATGGAAAAGGAAAACTTCAACTATCGTGAAATTTTGTGATCTATACTTGCAAACAAGTTAGGGAGCTGTTATACATATGTCCTTATTTATCTGTTATGTTTAAGGTTATGGGCTAGGTTGAGTAATTTATGGCACATGGCTCTGTAGTTCATGGCCTGGTCGAAGGGCCTGATATCTTCGTGAATATCTGTTATTGTAATTTGGTTCAAGTTGTTTTTATCACTGCTTCAGCTTCGGGTGAAAATGTAGCATCTATGCCACCTAATATTGGGGTGTGTCTCTTATTTTAATCTGAGAGCGCCCAGAATTGCTTATGAAGTTTCTCAATCATAAGTCAAATACATTTGGCACCAATGATTTTATGCTTCAAAATCTCACCACAACTTTTGGTTGCTCACAACTAAAACCTTTAATGATCAATTAACCGGGACAGTTACAGTGAAGTGGCCAATAGCAACTTGAGATTGAGATTTGGCTTTTGAAACTTGAATTTGAGATTGAGATTTGGCTTTTGAAACTTGAATTTTTAGGTTATCATAAACCAAAATACTAGGTAATGATGTTATGTTCTCCCTATAATTTTTTGGGGGAGTGGATTTGTTGGCTTTATTGTGCTCTACTTCAGTCTAATAAAAAGTTCCATCTCTTACAGTATTACCCTTCACTGGCATTGGATGTTCCGTAACTAATTACTTTGGTGGAAATCTACCCACATATTTAATCTTATACAAATGGAGAGCAATTTGTAGCATCTCTACCTCTAACTAGTTTCTCTGCACATGTTTTTAGAATTTACTGAATACCCCATGGAGAAATATTCAGGCACGGGCCTGGATCTAGTCTTCCCTGACCTGTTTATATCAATTGAGAACAGGTGTAGTGAAGAAAATAACTGTCAGTCTCTTGGAATTTGGCTCTAGGTTCAGTTTCGTGATTGGGTTATCTGAATTTTACTATTTTGCTTTATTTACAGCTTTATAGAGCTCTTTTTGAGAATTTAAGTATACTCCTTCAGAAGACTGAATTTTACTTTGCCGAAAGTATTTTGCATCACATTGCAACTATCCCGATGCTTTAGTTCCAAAATCCCTTTTCTCCACTGTAGTTTATGATGAAATTTTTTTTTTTTTTTTTTTCTAATGATATACTTTTTCTTAATTTTTTTTTGGTTTCTACTGGCTCCACAGATTGAGGGACCCAAATCTCCTGAAGAAATGCTCATGATACTGCAGAGAGTGATTGAAGAAAGTAACCCTGTTCTTCTTCAAGCGAGGCTTGATGCAGAAGAAAGAAGGAGCAACACGCGTTTGCGGGAGGAGCAAGATGCAGCATACAGAGCAGCACTTGAAGCTGATCAAGTATGTTGCTTTTAAAATTCAGTATTTCTTTTGTGTAGTGCTTGGTTATGCTGGACCAGATAGCATCCATTACTTGTGCTCCTCAACGGGCAAAGGCTTACATTATATAAAGAACTATGTAGCTATTGTTCTCTAATTTTCTAAATGTTTTTCTTTCTCTTTTCCCCCATCTTTTTGGTCTTATAAAGGCAAGGGAACGCCAGAGGAGAGAAGAGCAAGAACGTTTGGAAAGGGAAGCTGCTGAAGCTGAGAGGAAGCGTAAGGAGGAAGAAGAGGCTCGTGAGAGAGCAGCACGTGAAGCTGCAGAAAGAGAGGCTGCATTAGCTAAAATGCGGCAGGAGAAAGCCCTTGCACTTGGTGATGAACCTGAAAAAGGACCTAATGTCACACAAGTAATTATTCTTTTCTTCTTTGTGTAGTTGAGAATATGAAATTATCAAATCTAATACATCACTGTAAATTTTTCGCTGTTGAATGGAATTAGGTTTTGGTGCGCTTCCCAAATGGAGATCGCAAAGAGAGGAGGTTCCACAGTAGTGCAGTAGTCCAATCTGTGTACGACTACGTTGATTCTTTGGGTTGCTTGGAAGTTGAGGATTACAGTCTTGTCTCCAACTTCCCTAGGGTTGTATATGGGTCAGATAAGCTCTCGTTGTCCTTGAAAGAAGCAGGATTGCATCCTCAGGCCAGCCTTTTTGTGGAGCTGAACTAGTGTGAAGAAGGTGAAGTTGGAATGTGCAAGGGGGATAATGTGTTATGTTCCTTTTTCCGCTTTTCCTGTTACAAGTTTTATTAGCAATGATACAATGAGATAAGATAGCTACCTGTGTTCATGGATGTTTAATTTTCCAACAATGCAGATTCAATACTTGAAAGATGGTAGTGAATAATGAATATTGATTTGCACGTATATAGAACGAACTAATTGAAAAATATGTAAGCTTAATTGCGTTATTATTTGAATGTACATTGATTACATTTGGATTAAGGTATTTTAAATAGCAAATATATTTAATAAAATCCTGAGATTTTGAATCTATTAAAGTTAATTTTAAATAAATGTAAATATAACATGGGTGGTCCTGGTCGTTTGCCTACTCGAGTGATTTCTGTTTTTTGAAATTTTCTTCATCAAATTCTTATTGCTATAATTGCAAATGCTCAAAGGTTTTTAACAGAGAGCAAAGCGAGATACTCTCCCACACGCTTACAGTGAAACATGAAACAGCCTTGGCCCTTTTGGTATAACATTTTTACTTTATCTTATTCCATTTTCTTATCTAAATATTCAAAATTCTTTTTAAAATGCAATACTATTCTTTTTAACTCAAAATAACTCCTTAAATTTGTTAATTCGTTAACCACCTCTAACAATAAAAGTTTATAAATTACTGTCGGAAGGTGACTGAAATATGTCGTATTGATGCATTACCGGTTGGATGTAACCGATAATACGTCGATCTTACCTTTTCTGATCATATCTGTAGATCTGACTAGAAAAAATCAGATATATGACTGTTAAATCTGATCATTACGATCACATCTAACCGTTGATGACAATCATACTTAACCATCGTTTGGCCATCAACGATCAAATCTAGTGATAGTAGATTTGACATTTTTCAGCGGATACAACTGAGTATCGTTTCATAGGCATGACATCGAGCATCACAAGGAGAGAAGCTTTTATTAGGATACACGTATCATACATTTATTGTTAGTTTTTCAGGAGATGTACTTCCAATAAAAGACGACGCCGTATAAGTAGCGCCGTAAAATTCGCGTTTGATACCCACGCTCGCAATACATGGTGTAAAGCACTGACGGTCACGGGTTCATCTAGTAAAACACATGCACCGCCTTCGTCTGCTTTTTAATTGAACTTTTAGCTAGTTGATTCAACTAGAAAATTCACNAACTCTTTTTATAGTTTTCAATCTAAAGCAATGATCAATTAATTATAATTCTTGATACCATTTTTTTCACCAGACGGCATTAGCAATGGCATCTGTCCTTCTTTAATGATTTTTCATGAATCATAAACATATATAGATTAATGAGAGAAAGTTACATGAGAGAAAGTTAGCTGAAAGAAGCTCTTGCTTTCGCCTCCAGAAATTGCACCAATTTTCTTACGTTTTAACCCATATTTATTGCTGACAAATGGTCTTCACTTTTCCTCTACCAAAACTATAAGTTAATTAGCTAAAGTGTGTATGGTTGGACACTATATTAGAAGCCTAAAAGATTTGGTAAAAATGATATAAATATAAACTCAACCAAAATACAATATACAGGTAGACTGAATCAGATTCATACTTTGAGTTGTTGTGTAAAGCTAATTAGCTAGCACAATGGGAAAAACTGTAGAAAATGGAAGTCTGTGTCATCTGACCCACGTAATCATACTCAACTCACCCTCGCATATATAAGGGCCCTTCAAAAACAATGCATGGCCAAATCAATATCTCACACGAAGTCTTCTCTCTCAATCTATTTCTCTCTCTTTTTTCTCCATCTTAAACAGTTGAGGGGAATGCTGTCTGGTTCGAGACCATTCATCATCTGAATGATCTCGGACCAGGCTTCATTCCCCCCAACGTAACTCATCAAATCTCTGATAAAAGCTACCCCTTCCTGCATGTATAGATATATATATCTCATCAAATGGCTTGATATTCTCCATCCAATAAGGTGTTTGATATTCTTACAATTACCAGCATGTTTTGAATTATATATATATTTTTATGTTTTTCGCATCAACCCATAGTTTGTTTTTCTTTGTATTTGCAGGTGAAGGTGTGGCTTGAAGAGAATAAGGATACATGTTACTCGATTAATTAAAGAAAAACTCATTGGAATCTGAAATCAGGTATATATATATATGTGTGTGTGTTATCTTCTAACTTCACATTAAGGGCAAATTCACTTTTGATGTTCAGTACTCTAGAAACTACAATGTAGTTTTAATTGATTCGTGTTCAGTTATGTTCTTCATAACCGAAATTAATCAAAACACCTTGGTTTCTACAAGGAAATTCTAGGCTAAGAGATCAGGCATTCATCTTCATATATATGGAAATGGAAGAAGTGTAGATTGTTGTTACCATATTGATTATATAATTTATCTTGTTCATTACATAGGGCGAACAAATTCATGCAAGATGCCACGAGATCAGTATAAGCATAATAAATAGAAATTAACTAAGAGCAGTTCAAGCGTTGAAGATTTCTATATACTTTTTGATGATTAGATAATGGAGCATTAACAAACCATTGTCAAATGTTTTGGTTAAGAGTACAAAGACAATATTATTAGTTTGAACGTTCTGCACTTTGCTTTCTTCGTTTTTACCAAATTCGTTGAAAAACAGATGATGGTCTTGTTCTGAGTGTGAAAATCTGACTGAAAAGGGAAAGAAAAACAAAAACAAAGTAGTATGTTGTGTGTTTTTCTATCTTTTGGGCGGTTGAAATTGGGTTTGCTTGTGGAGAGTTGCAAAGAATATAAGCCAAAGGAAAACTTTCACTTTAGTTGCATCATGCATGGCATGAGATCAGATTCAGAAGAAGTACACCATACATACCCCATATCAGAAGTCTTAAGGTTTGAATTGAATTGGTTTTAATGCCTCTTTTTTTTTTTTTTTTTCTTTTTCTGCTTAAGACTGCCATCATAACCACCTCCTTAGTCTTGGCCAATTCTTCACCTTTTAACGCCATGTGGGTCAGATTCTCCCCCCAATATCTGCATGAAAATCCCTATTTTGCTAGTTCATCCCACACTCATTACCTTTCACATCTTCGTCAGCCAGTCAATATTTTTATATTTTATATACATTTCTCCATGCATTATTTCAAATTGCTTCTAGCTGTTTACCATTACAAAATTAATGCATTCACATGTAATTTCCAAATAGCTGAACGTCTACTTCTTTCTAAACTTATGTAAATATAATATGCTTTTGATTATGCAGATGGGAAATCTTCCTTTGTTTGGTTTGGGTTTGCCGCTTATAATGTTAGATGAGTAGCATCCAGCTGGGTATTGGAGAAATAATTAATGAATAGGTATAAATAGTTAATCAAGGTGGTCCAAATACAAAAATAATTTGATGGGATGGGAATATGATCAATTTTTAATCTAAGTGTGTTAAACATGAAATTAGAGTGAAATAGTGGGGATTTTTGTGCATAAGGTCAATGGGGAAAACTTGGTCGGGCCCTTGTTTGACCTAAAAAGATTGATATAATCTTCTTCTTTTTTTTATGTCTAGGGTCCGAACCCATTGAAAACCCTACAAACCCCGTGTTTCAAGTAAGCCACAAATATGGTAGGTGATCGCAAGGTGATTCGAACCCAAGAAGTCAATAAAAAGAGTAAACCTTCTTGACCGTCAGACCAACCCCTTGAGGTTAATATAATCTTCTCAGTTACATTCCGTATGTTTTATGTACCAACTCTTCATTCAATGTATTTCTATTCAATATTTTATACGTAATTCCAAGTTTTAACCAGAGTTGGAATGTGTATCCATCATATAGCAATGAAACAAATGAAACTTTTCCATAGATTTTTGAAACCATAATATATCCGTACATTATTAATGATAAGATAGAAATGAAAATTGTATTCGGTTGAGGGGATACCAAATAATAATACAAAGGTGTAGTGTAGTGGTGAGAGATGTTCCATGGAGTCAAAAGAGAAGAGCGACATCTTGAGTATGTGTGACAAAAAGTGATTCCTATGCTCGATAAAGCCATCTTGAAATTTTCTCCATTTTTGTTAATAGAGATTTTGATTCCTCCTCCCCCCTTATTACTTTTTTTAAATTTCTCTAAAGCATTCAACGCCACACCTTCTAAAAACTTCCTTTTCCTCCATTCTTTTCTTTATTTGTACACAATTATTTACCAATCAAACCACATCATGCCTTTTGCCTAACACCAGCTTGGGCTTTCTCATGATAAGTCCAAGTTGAAAGCCCAAATATTAAGGCCCATGGATTCAAACTCAAGCCCAACAATAATCTGGATGATGTCTAATTGTCAATTAATAAATTACTGCTGGTAGTTGAACCGAATTTTGTACCATGAAATATAAAAAAAAAAAAAATACTGCTGGTGGTGATCATGGGTTGGAAGGCACGGCTGGTGGTCGTCGTCGTTTGGAAGGCGGGGCTGCTGGTGGTCGTCGTTTGGAAGGGGCGACTGTCGTGTGGCAATCGGCTAGAAGGTGCGGCTGGTGTGGTGGTTAGGGTTTCAAATTTTGACAGAGAGAGATTTGTTTAAGGGAATTAAAAATTTTGATGGTAAGGGTTTGTAAAATTTGGGAGGGAATTTGATTTAGGGTCATCCACAAATTTGAATTTTTAGGGCATTAAGTAACATGACCCATCAATAATGCTAGAGATACAAAAAAACTTACAATATGCAGAAACTGAAAGAAAGAGTGAATACAAAAAGTCAAACTCTTCATATTCACTATTTCATTCATTTTTTGTCATATCATTTTATATAGAAATACCATGACTCATATGCCACATAGCACTGACATGACATGTCATGTCACTTTGTACAAACTCTAAGAGAGTTCGTACGTGTAGTCTTATTAATTAATGTTATATTTACAAAAAAATCTTACAAATATATTCATACGAAGTATATGACAAAAAATGAATGAAATAGTTAATATAATGAGTTTGACTTTTCATTCATTTTTTACCACTTCACTTTGTATTAAAATGTTTGTAAGATTTTTTGTATTATGGTATTATTTAGGGCTGTACAAAACCGGGTACCCGATCCGGTTTTGAACGAAAAGCCAGGTACCTGAATATTCGGGTACTTTAAAAAGGTACCCGCAAACTGAACCATTTTTTAGAATACCCAGTTTTACGAGTACCCAAATATTCGGGTCACAAACCGAGTATCCGATTTTTGACCCGAATTTGATTAAAATTCATCATGAATTTTAATTTTTTACAAGATGCAATTCCTTCCAATTGAAGCCAGTATTCAACAATCAACTATTCCTCAACGCCAATGGAACATGTGACCAGACAAAATATACCTTAAGGTATCAGTTTGAAAATTCATGGCCACTAATGCCTTTTGATAATATTGCTGACCTAACTATTCCTCAACCAACTTCAATCACAAAATTTATCAACATAGCCATACTAACTCTACCACTTCAGTCTTATAAGTGCCCAATTTAACCCCTAGTTCACTAATAGACCCATTGTCTCCAAGTGAAGATGACATAAAAATAAAATGACTGAAAATATTTACCTTGGAGATGGAGACTGAAAATGAAGCCAACGGCACCGGCGATAGCGACGGCAGTGTAGAAAGGTGATGGAGCTGGAGCAAAGTGAAACCCAATGTTGAGATCAATTTAGAAGCAGTTGGAGTGTTTCTACTTTCTATAATTTGCAGTCTAAAGAAGAAAATTTTAGTGGACTAGTGGAGAATTTTTAGACTTTAGTGGAGACTGGAGACTGGAGAATTTGAGAGTGAGAGAGATGAGTGCGGACCTGATGCAGTGACGTTGACGGGCTAAAATTTTAGGGCATAAGGTATTTGGGGCTTTTGCCCTTTGAAAATTGAAAGTAAACAAAAAATTAAAAAACTACGTTTTTTTTTATTTTTTAATAAAACCGGTTACCGGGTACCTGGTTATCTTAAAACAAATAACCGATACCCGAACAAAAAATTCGGGTATCGCATTATAATAACCCGAAACCGACCCGAATTTTTGGGTACTCAAAAATACGGGTTCAGTTCGGTTCAGTTAACAGTTTTTTTGGCATAGCCCTAGTATTATTGTTAATAAATTACGGTTGGTAGTTGAACCAAATTTGTACCATGAAGTATATACAATCATACACTTAGACCTAGCAAACTAGCGTCCTGGGTGGGTACGGGCCGGGTAGACACAGGTCACGGGTAAAACGAGCACGGGTCGAGATATGCATGATGGGCGGGTACGGGTCGACCCATGGGTCACCCGCATATAATGGCATTTTCTGTAATTTTTTTTCTTCAAGTTTTTGTTATTTTTTCACAGTTTTTTGTTGTTCAAATTGCATACTTGAAGATTAAATTGCATTGATTTAAAAACTTGGTATAAAATTCATTTATTAAGCTTTCATAACTTGGTTAATTTGATTAAATAAATGGATGATTAAATTAAATTTTATTAGATTTCATCAAACATCAAATATCATTAATTCATTATCAATATTTTTCATATTTATATCAAACTTCACCATATAGAATTAGTAAATACTAAATATACATAGTAATTACTAATTAGTAAACACTACACATATAGAATTAGTAAATAATGGTCAAAACTCAATGCTCACAGTGCAAATAATGGTAGTTAAATGTATTGTCTTGTTTTCCCAAAGCGTTTGGCAACTTGGTGAAAGTGTTTACCTCTAAAAGTGACTACTACTGCTGAGAGTTAGGCGACGTTAGAGTGAGAGAGAATAAGAGTGAGAGGAGAGCAAAAGGTATTTCATCGTCGGCCTAGGTTTGGGAGCTGCCGTTCATCGACATGATAGGGTGAGAGAGTTCAAACTAAGTTGAGATTCGCGTCGGAGCAAAATGAGAGTGAGAGGAGAGCTACAGCAGCTGTTGTTTCGTTAGCGACGGCCTCGATTTGGGAGCTGTCGTTCGTCGGCGTAAGTGAGCGCAAGAGAGTTGAGACTGAGCTGAGAGTCGCGTCGGAGCATAATGACAATGAAAGGAGAACTGCAGCTGCTGCTGTTTCGTCCACGATGACCTGGGTTTGGGAGTTGTCGTTCGTCAGCGTGAGTGAGCGCAAGAGAGTTGAGATTGAGCTAAGAGTCGCATCAAAGCAGAATGACAATGAGAGGACAGCTGCAGCTGTTACTGTTTCGTCAGCGACGACGGCCTAGGTTTGGGAGCTATCGTTCGTTGGTGAGAGTGAGTTGTGACTGTGGCTACGTGAGTGAGCTATGAGTGGTGTGCTGCGTGAGAGAGTTGAGTGTTTAGTCTGACTGAGTTGCATTTAGACTTTAGGGTTTCTTAATAAATTGTATTTTAATTTTTTTTTTTTAAATTCAATTGCAGGTATCCGTAGCTATTACCAGACCCACTCGCAAATTTTACGGATGGGCCAAGTATGGGTAGCTTTGAAACAAGCATTTTAGAGGGATACCTGTACTCGCCAATTAGGTACGAGTAACCCCCGCAGGTCCAGGCCCTCTTTTGCCAGGTCTATATAGATTGCCGTTATTATTTGTTAACTCCGTAGTCCGTAGTAGGACATATTCTAATATATTTATTACCAATATAAAGTAAAACAAATTTATTGTAGTTCCACGCGGCACTTCATTATTGGACACTAACTGTCAACCCAACAACAGGGAATTTTGTACCGTCCGAATATCTCACAGACAATAAAAGCATCTTCTTCTTTCTTTCCGAGTTTTGCCCTAACCAATGCAATAAATAATCCTTTTGGAAACATTATCCTCTAATTTATCACGCTCCATTCCTCGCGTGCACATCACCTTCCAAGAATACAGAACAATGTCGTTGAGACTTGAGACTATTCCACGTGCTCTTTACACCAAACTAAACCTCCATCAACGGTCCTCAAACTGCCACTTCATTTCACCGTTCTGTCGAAATCACCACTTGGATTTTCTCTCTCTGTAAAAACCTCTCGCGCTCTTCTGTCTCTCTCTCTTTAGATCTCGTACGCAGTCGCGCACAACTAATGTAAACTAATTTTTTTGGATAAGCTAAATGTTCTCGGAAAATTTTTAATTTTCTTGGGAAAATTTTCGAGATGGACGAGATCTTCTTTGATATGATGGAGTTTTTGAAGAGACCTTCGATAACCGAAACATTTGTCGACATTCTGCTATGTGCAGTACCTATTTGGCTGGCCGTGATGATTGGCATGGTGATCGGCTGGTCGTGGCGGCCGAGATGGACCGGATTGGTGTTCCTGGGTGTCCGGAGCAAATTCAGGTTCATCTGGACCGCGCCGCCCGGGTTCGGTGCTCGTAGGCTGTGGCTCGCTGTTACGGCTCTTTCGGCTGTCTCGGCTTGCCGCGCGCTTTGGAATAATTTCAAAAGTAAAAGCGTGAAATCTGCTTCCGGTCCGGTGCCTGCGCCGATGGCCGCGGTGGGAAGCGGCGATGATATAAGGTTAGTGTTAAACTTTGAGTTTTAAAATCTTGGTATTAAGTTGGGGTTTTTTTAGGTCACCAATGAAATGTAATCTTGTCTTGTTATTCATTTCTGAAAAAAAAAAAAAAAAAATGGTGTGTGATTAAGTTATTATCTTTAGTGTTTAAATTTGTGATTATGCTGTTGCTAATTTCAATGTACAACTAAAGCTTAGCCTATTGCCTATTGGTATGAATGCTGCTAGGGTCTTTTCTTCTTAGTTGAGCCTCAGGTATTGCCTCTGTGTCTGTGCATAAATTATTATTCAGGATGATTTTTTAAGTCAAGTTTTTAAGCATTGAAGCAATTAAAATTGGGAAGTGACAAATTTTGCTTATAATGTTGTTCCAACTCTTGTACTGAATATTTTTGGTGAATGGGACTGTGCTGCATAGATAATTTGATGGTTAGGATCTTGGTCCTTTCTTGATGTTATCAGTTGATCGTGATGTGGTCAGTGAATATATGGTGGTGTTGAACTAGTTGATGTTTGCTCTCAAATTATATATTGAATCTTTGAGATGGATGATTAATTGTATATAATTTTTGCGATGTTTTCTTACTAGATTTAAATTAATCTTTAGGAGATTGGTGCTTGTATTAATGACCCTAGTGTATCTGTTGGCAATGATGGGCAGATCTTTATTGTTTAATTACGTTCCTCTTATATAAATTGTCAAGCTGTGAGTCTTTGCTTTGGTCTAATTTTAACTGGGAACTTGTCAATTTTTAAAATTATACTTTGGGTGTTTAACAATAGACATACAGTTCGTTTGCCCAGTCACATGGGGTTAGAAAAATCCATCTATAGAGTTTTCATGTAGAATTCTAATTTATGCTTTTCAGAGGTAAAAAAAATAGAAGTGTTGCTAATCATTTTTATAGTATATTACATGATTAAAACCGATAATTTCTTTTAGCTAAATCACCCATAGAATAGCTAAAACAACTTGTCCCCAAAAAGTTTTGGTTTTTCTTTCCTCTCCCAAAAGCAGCAACATTGTCCATAAGAACTGTCACAAGAAGCTGAAATGGCCCATCTCATCCTAGCTTTTGTACAAGTTTTAACCGAGGAATTTGAGACACCATCACAATGAAGGAAAAGATGATTTAGAGATATCTTTTGTTTTACACATTACACGTCCAGAAAGAGAAAGACTCATAGGATACTTTCTTTGGATCACTTGACTTGTATTAATGTTGCCTTGCACCAAAACCCACACAAAGTTTTGGACCTTATAGTTAGTGCCACTAGTGCGAATGCATGGTATGTTTTTAATGTTCAATATGTGTTTCTAACTGAAAGGTCAAGTTTTAGGCATCGATATAGTCTATGTAGTATGGTTATCTAGTCATTTTTTAAATAATGATCCAGAAGATATAATGACAACCATAAAGCTTGTTTGTGCATGGGTTCGATAAGCCACCTATAAAATCTTCATTTCATTAATACTTTTTTTGGGAAAATGCAAAGAAAAGAGAATATATTAATAATGTGTTGAGATCAAGAAATGTTATTAATATTTTGTTTTTAGTTACATCACATCATTATTGTAGGAATCTTACTGTTGTCATCATGATGATGATGTATATTATAAAATTCTCTTTCCTGCAGCCCCAGTAGTGTAACTGTAGAGAGAGAGCAGGATGTTGTTACAGAGAATGATTTAGAGCACCTATTGCATCTACTTGAAGGGAAGGATGGAGAGATGGAATGGCAAAGACTGATGGAGAGGTCCAACCCAAACATGACATACCAAGCTTGGCGCCATGAGCCTGAGGTAGATTCTCATTTTTCTCCCCTTGTCTGCTATATTTTCTTCTCTTTACTCTGCTGAAAATGTAGCCTCAATATTAATTCTTCTTTATGGAAATATGTTAATGGAAGGTAAATACATAGTTTGCGGCTTATCTTTAACCATTCCTTCTGATTTTTTTTTTCTCTTTTGGTTGTGATTTTTTTTTCTCTTTTGGTTACCATCTTTTCATTTATGAGCCTAGTTGATGAAGTATGATGGGCTGGATGTTTATTCTAGAGTAAAATGAAGACTGCTTTTCCAACTCGGTCTATACTTATTTTTGGGACTTAAAGCTGCCCAATGTTGGGTCCTAACTTGCCTATCTCTTTTGGTATACAATATCATTGTACATGTTATCATGGATCATATCGATCCAGTTTTCTTCATTGTGTTTTTTGCTGTTCGGTGGCGGTATTGACTAAATCATATTCTAGTAGCTGATGATGATTTTGTCTATCAGACAGGTCCTACAGTTTACCGTAGTAGAACTGTCTTTGAGGGTGCAACTCCAGAGTTGGTCAGAGATTTCTTTTGGGATGATGAGTTTCGACCAAAGTGGGATCCTATGCTTACATACTTTAAAATATTGGAGGAGTGCCCTCATACTGGGACAATGGTTGTTCACTGGATAAAAAAGGTTTGGGGAGCAGTTGATCTGCATATCTGTGATACCTTGGTTTTGCCATGTCACTTTCTTGTTCAAATATTATATTTATGTTGACTTGTTTTACTCCTTTTTGTAGTTCCCTTTTTTCTGCAGTGATCGAGAATATGTCATTGGTAGGAGAATATGGGAGGCTGGAAAGACTTATTATTGTGTGACCAAGGTACTGGTTGGAGTTTAGACTCCCAGATTTAGGATTTGTGGATCCAGTAACAAGTGCAGTTAAACCTGCATTCTAATCATTTGTGTGGCTTGAAAGGTCAAGGCTAACTACTAGTTCAGTGTATTTCATTAAGAGGAGTAATGCTACAGTTACCGAAAGGAGCGCACCGAATGNCTAATGGAATAATCACTGATCAAGATAAGGTCATGCAAAATGCAATTGAGATTGTTTTCCCTGATACAAGACATAGGTGTTTGTGGCATATAATGAAGAAACTGCTTGAAAAGTTAAGGGGGTATAAGAAATATGAAAATATCAAGTTTAAGTTGCAAAATGTTGTGTATGATTCCTTTACGCGTGAAGAGTTCGAAGAACGGTGGAACCAATTTGTTGATATGCACAACCTTCACGAGAATGCATGGTTATGTGGATTGTACAAAGAAAGAGTACGATGGGAGTCTGCATTTCTTAAAGATACTTTCTGGGTAGGTATGTCTATTACCCAACATAGTGAAAGTATGCATGCATTTTTTGATGGGTATGTCAATTCCAAAACCACTTTGAAACAATTTTTGGAACAATATGATAATGTATTGTGAGCTAAAATGGAAAAAGAAAGGGAGGCTGATTTTAAATCTTTCAAATCTTGGATACCATGCATAACTAATTACCCGATTGAGAAACAATTTCAAAGTGCATACACAACTGCAAAGTTTAAAGAGTTTCAAGATGAGATTGCGGGGAAGATTTATTGTGAGTTATCTTTTATGAAAAAATGTGATTCATGCGAGGAGTTTTAAGTTTGGGAAGATGTTTGGTTTGGGGATAGTAGTCGTCGTGTTCCTCATGCAGTATACTTTGAAGAAAGTTCATGTGATATTCATTGTACTTGTCATTTGTCTGAGTTCAGGGGGATTTTATGCAGACATTTCATTATGGTGTTGATTCATAAAAGGGTTTCACACATTCCGGAAAAGTACATTTTATGGCGTTCGAGGAAAAATGTGAACAGATGTCATACGAAAATTAAGGTCTATTATAATAGGTGGAGCACCAACATTGAAGGACAACGTTTTGATAAGTTGTCTAATTTAATGCTGACAATAGCGGATATGGCATCAAACAATGAGGAAGATTATAATATGATGACGGAGTTGATGATTGACATGAGGAAACAATTGGAGCAAAAGGAAAGTGAGGGAGGGCTTGGTACAAAAGTGAACATCTCTTTTACAACCGGTTTGACTAGTCAAGATGGGGACAGTCTTTCGAAAGAGGGAACTAGTCTAATTATTAGTCCACAGGCAGCTCGTAGCAAAGGTCGTCCTCCATGTAGAAGAAAGCAATCGAAGATTGAAGAAATTGTAGTAGGGTTAAAAAGAAAAAATTACAAAAACAAAGAATTGATATGACTTATACATTAATGGTTGTATTTATTTTGAAACATTATTTACTTATTTGAAGTTTAGAATAATATCGACTTGATTATTAATGTGTTATGATACTTTTTAGGAAAAGGATCATCGGTACAACGACAACAGGAACAATTTCTTTCATGTACTTCCGTGGCCGATGCGAAAACTCAAGTATTGTCAAACGATGTTGTTACTACCCAGGTATGTGTTATGTATCTTGTATAATTGTAATTGCCTTAAGTTTTCTATAACATGTGTTAAATTGTGGTTGTTAAACAATGACAGATGTCCACTGGTCCGGTTCCAAATCTCGCAGGACAAAGTAATTTGTATACTAGACAGGAGTTTGTAAATGATGAACATGTCTCATTGGGAGATGTTTGATATTTTTGCCACGTTGAAGCATATAGAATTGCATTTAGTAGAAATTTGTCATGCTTTGGTTAATTTCTACCGAATGCAGTTGAGTTGTATGCTTCTTCAGTTGTTTTATTTTTAGTATTTTCGTCATTGGTTGTGTAGGGTAGTGAATTCATGATAATGACGTTAATGTAACTTATTATGAATATTTTCAGTATATATTATCGTCATATTACAGACTCCGGTTGTACATGGCATTTTGGATATGCTTTTCATTTGAGATTTGAATTTTTATATCTTTCGGTATGTCTAGTATTACATATACATATACATTGAAAAGAGTTGTTGACACATGTATAAACAAAAGACAAATCTATTTATAAACAAAAAACAAATTTATTTATAAACAAAATACAATCTTTATTAACAACATCCGCTCAAATCAATCTATTTATAAACAAAAGGCAAAAATTCTTCATCATGGTGTAGGGGGTGGAGGTTGACTGGAGGATGAGGAGGCTGTTGAGAAGTTCTTAATCATGCTGAAAATCTCTATCATGCGTTCCCCAATGATGTCAACTGTTTCTTCAATTCTTGATGCAAACGTGTTGAAATCACTTTGCAATTGATCATGTTGTTCTTGCATTTGCCTCTCAATACGTGAAAAACGCTCCTCTTGAAAGTTTTCCATCCGCTCAAATCTGCTTTCTATTTCCTGTAAAGTATGAGAAGGCATATCTTCTACATTCTCAAATGATCTAGGTTCAGTACTCGTTCTTCTTCTTTTGCGCACATAGACTTGTCCTTCATTAACCCCTTCTGGAATACTGACACCTTCCTGAACCGTTGCATCTCCCTCCATTTCATCCCTAATCACAAACCATTGTCCTGCCATATTCTTTTTAATCAAACCCATTTTATTCAATGTCACATCCCCTAACACATTATTTGTAGAAAACGTAATCTTATTTGTTGCATCATCAGGGGTGATCTCAATATTCAACTTCTCACATATTAACGTAACAAACATCCCCCAATATATTTATCCTTTTTCTGCTTGAATCTCTCCCAACTTCTTAATCAATAACTTCGCTGAATTAACTTGCCTCTCTGCTACTACTGCTTCCATGAACATTAAATCCTTAACTGTCACATTTCCATTTGTCTTTTTCCTACCATTAAATGTGAAAGTCAGGTATCTGTGAAATACTCTCATTGCAGGATTCTTTAACTTTGTAGATTTACACCTATGTGGATGGTAAGTCCCTATCCCGGAAACATCAATCCAAGCTTGTTTGGAATCCCAGGTTCTAGATACGTTTTCCAAACCTTCACAATCAAATCCTATCCAAGTTGCTAAATCTTGTGGTGTCACTACAAAGTTATGATTCTTCAATCTAAAGAACATTGTATATGCCTGAAACTCATCACTATCTGTCTTTGCAACTTCCAAACTACCAAAAAACTCATATATCAAGTGCCTATACCAATCATATCTCATACCGACCAAACGGTCCCATTTCAAATTATTAATCCAACCATTGATTTCATCAACTAAACCTAAACTTGTTAGAAGTCCTAAATCCAAACTTCTTCCAAGGCAAATATCTCTTTTCGACACATCCTTGTATTGTTTTTTATATCGCAAGTCTCGAAATTGAATTGCAGATAACGACGTGCCTTCATGAGGAATGGTTGTATTTTTTACCCTCACTATTTTCTACTTTCTTCTAAAACCTGTATACATAAAAAAGTCGTCATCATAATCTGCCAAACCTAAACCAACATAAAAATATCGGCTTGTTCGGAGACTTTCATAAACATATAAAGTCTCATTCGTTTTTCAGACAAATCAAAGACACATTTATGTTCATTCTCTAAGCCTTTTTAAATTATAACACAATACATCAAACTTTATCGAAAATACTAATTTGAACTGAAAAACACCATGGACTGTAAATGGACCTGATAATATCAAAGATGACATGAGAAGTTCTTCAATACGCTTAATTGCATGAGTAATCAATGACGATCTTTTTGAGCAACTAGTCAAGTAAAACAAACAATCAAGGATCCATTTGTGCTGTTTCTGGCACATGGTTATCATCTAGAGAGCAATTTAAACCTAGCCCCCTTTGGACATAGTGTTTGCATATCTTCTTGCCCTCAGGTTTATGAGCAGCAGGAAACTACAGACAGAGAAGTTAGAATAGAAAACTAGAGCATCTTAAGATTATAAAGCTCATAGTTTTATGACTTCAGTACAATCATGTTATTTCTCTCACTAGAAAACAAATTGAACAATTCTAGGATAAAGCAAGAGACAAGCATTGTAAATCATGTCTAAGATAATATTATTCGAACTAAGGGTTGTATATTACTCTAGACTAATTATTAAATAGACAGGTTGAAAATTTTAATAGAATTCATTAGCATTTTTCGAGTAATCACTATATGTCAAACAAAGTGTGCAAACCTTTCCATCCAAAAACAGAAAGACACACAATAACCACACACAATGCAGAACATACTCAAAATGATTTTCTTGTGACACACAATCCATACCTAACAGACAAAATAACCATAGTTTCCAAATTAGGTGAGAAAGATAATGAAAAGTATGCCTAAATCCCTTTCAAGCAGGTGTTATTTATAAAATCGCCACATATTCAGGACCAAGTTTAAATGGTTAATTATCAATTATAGGGGTTTCTTACTTTTTAAATTGGACCAAAGTCTGGACCCATAATTTTATATTACCTTAGACAGGTTATCACTTCAAAGGGTATTGCTTTATATATGTATCATTATATTTTAATGACATTAATCACTTCAAAGGGTACTGCTTTATATATGTATCATTATATATGCACTTAAGCGTACATAGCTCATTACAGAGAAGCAGAGTGTATGAGAGTGGAGATGGAAGAATTACTTTACTCATATGGTATTGACGTTGTTTTCAGTGGACATGTAAGTCAGGATAACTTAGAATAATGGAAATTTTAGGCAAAACATGTGAATGAAACTACTTCCGGTATAATTTTTAGCATTTAAGAAAGGCAATTTTCCGTTTACACTGAACATCACCACAAAGGAAAATAAACATTGAAAAAGGGTTCGGATGCTATGGAGCACTGAATCAAACAATTAATCAATTGAAACATCCCTATACAACTTTATATTTAATTAACCCCTACATTGCTATGGCAGAACACTTCTATCAATCACACAAACCAGTCCCACCAAATTGACTGG